GACACCAAGCGACGTCGCGCGGCGATTGCATGTGCCGCGCGATAGCAGTTGGCCCACTACGGGCACGCGGTACCACAAGTAGGCAAACTGCCAAGTCGCTTCTGCCAAACAATCTCGAAATTGATTTTTTTTTTGACCGTAACGCACAACAGAACTTAGAAAAGATCCACAAAGAAAACCAAAAACGAAGAAAAAATTCACGAGCTCACCTTTCGGTAGGGACGCGAAGCATCGACCTCCTTTCTTGCACTCGTATTTACGTTGAGAAAGTACGGTACGTCGAAAAAACGTTTTGCAACCATTGCACGAGGGGACCTGAAACTCAGCACTTCCTTGACTTGCCTTCGTCGTAATCTACTGTGACCGCATACCTCATAATGGTATCCGGAGGCCGAATCCCCGCATACGGCACATGTAGTTGGACAGACGTTTTTCGGGAACATACTGTACGGTACCACCCATGTCGTGTTGTTGTTTTCATTTTCTATTTCCGCTCCATATTTCATGTTCACATGTGCTGGAATGGTTATAGGTGAGCAACGATTCAGTTGTAACAGATGTCTGAAAGAACGTCCCGATGGGCATCATACGCACGCATAGGTATATTCAATTGACAAGCTCGGAAAAGATCATGACAAGTTGGAAGTTGAATTGGAGAGTAGATCCGAAAAGTATAGAAAATGTACCACAGAAGTAAAAGAGTAACAAGTTTTAGGTAAGAGAGTAAGCTTGGTTCGGTCGCGCAGGTTGGGATTTTGGAGCTTGAAAGCCTGGAAGAAGTTTGGGGTTACTGAGTCACAGCGCTATCTCATCCCTCTCTTTTTATTATCCAAAAAGGGTAGGGGTGGAGCTATGGGTGCCTTACAGCGGCGGTGACTCAGCGGCTTCCCGAAGCAGTTTGGCATCCATCTAGCTCAAATAAACTGAGCTCTCATTGCTCCTGAGTAGATTAGCTAAACCAGATACAACAGAAGACACGAAACAGCTAACTCGAGTGATGACCCGCCTCTGCAAGTTGTATAGGACCGGTCTTTGCAAGTCGTAGGATAAGCAGAAGCCTAAAGCAAGGCGTACTCCAGAGGATCTGATCAACTCCGAACATTTTGCACACCTAATACACAACCGAACATTTACCCCGTTGTGACTCAACCTGTATTAGTCCCAGCGCTGTTCTAATAAGGGAAAAGCCATTTATGCAAATATATGAGTCATAACGGGTGATCTCCGAATGGACTACAAAATCCAACTCACTCTCCTGGTTCCATACAACTGAAAAGTTCTTCAGACTTAGAAAAGAGGCAGAAGGTAAGCTGTTCGATGTGAACGGGCTGAAGTGGGTAAGCATTTCTGCTATGTACGAGACGTTTAATTAGGGGAATTAACCTATTTAGTTATTGCTGTTTCTCCTCCCTCCTGCTTTCGGTGTTGCGAATTCTATCAAAAGGGCAAACGTACTGCTACTTCACTTGGGTTCAGGAGCGAGGGGAGGAGAGGGAGAAAGATCAGGGTGCTGTTGCTTACGCCAAGGGATCGAAGATCAGGTAGGACGGACACGTTATGCAATACTGTGATGACCGTTGGACCAGGGTGGTTACTGACTGCATGACCCTCGAAACGTCAAACGGGCACCAGGACAGCCGCCATCGTGATGGCCAGACTTTTCCACGAAAGCTCTGAACAAAAGGAATGCTATGCCCCGTGTCCCTCGAGCGAGGACGACGGCTCGCGACAGGAACGGATGGAGGCGCTACGGCGCTCGTGCGGGGAAATCAATAATCAGCGAGAAGACAGGTGATGGGGGTGATTCGAAAGCATAATGGTTACCATAGTTTTTCGAAATTACAGAGGGATTTCCAGTAATCAGTGAAGAGTAATATGTAGTACATACCAGTCACTCCCATAAGCGCTAAGGTAGACCTTCAACAATGCACGATTGTCGTTGGCCAAGGGCCAACTCCAAGTAGTTCTTCGGTGTTGTTAGTGTAACAAAAGTGAAGTCAATCTAACAATGGAGCACAGGGAACTTTCAATCAACTAATTCGACAGTCCGCCAATAACGTGTTGATCGCTTCTTTCTTCATTAAAAAGCTCGACTCTACATTGTAAAGTAAAATCAGGAAAATTGATGACATTTGGCTGAAAGGCCTGTCCTCCACCATCACACAGCCATTTCCTGGTACACAAAGATTTCCCCTTTCTAGGCTCTCCCTCATTCCCACCAGTCAGACGCCCAGGGTCCGTACAGTCGACCCATGGTCCGTGTAGGACCCACACAGGCACTGTTCAGGGGTCCATACAAGTTCAAGTGGAAGTCGAAAGGTTGCAAAATAGCTCATGACCAAGAGCGGGAACTTAATCTTCGAACAACTAATTCAAGTGAAAATTACTCCGGAAATAAAATCGCAATGAAAAGGAAAATGAAAGCGATTAAGTGCGGCTGTTAGGAAAAAATAATGAATACCTGAAACCCTCAAATTAGAGCTTCGATGAGGTATGAAAACGAGCATTTGCATGGGAAAACATCTACAAAGGGACCAAGACACGCGTCGCAATACGACCCAGTAGCGTTGCGGCAAGTGCTAATCAATCAATCATTCCCATATGGGTGTTCACTGGTGTTTCTGGTTTTTCTCTTTTTTCATTAAGGTTACGAAATTCGATCATGACAATCGTGGCAGCTAAAAACCATGGTAATAAAAAAAGACAAGGCGAAATGAAGTGATTGTATCCTATGTTGGAGAAAGTGAGGGACGTTCAGATACTTAGTGCCTCATGAGACTTACTAGTATCGGCATCGCCTGTTCGATGTTAGATTTAGTTTTTCACCTGGCATGACATGGTCAAGTAACTATGGCTCAGAAGTTCTACCTTCCGCGATGCCTTGACGTGGACATGGGTTACTTTTAAAGTAATTGCAATGCAGTTAACCCATTAACGACCATGTTCTTCCTCGAACGGCAGATAATAAGTTGATCAAAACGGAAATGACAACAATCGAAAACGGGCAGTACTAGAACTCAAAAAATGACTCAAAACGTATAAGAGAGTCTCTCTACTAGCACCACCTGCACATACTTTTTGAACAGCAGTGAAACCCACAGAAATCTCAAAGTATTAATCTTCGATAAATTGTAATGGTTCAACCGCCAAAGGCAGAGCACAGAACAACTTGAGATATCCTTTTAAAGAAGAACGGAATGAGTTCGTGCAGGATAGTGCATCGGTGGGGAAGAAAGCGAGAAAATCTGAGGTGCTGGCGAATTACTGGGTGTGACCGCGGACGTAGTCGGACTTTGAGCCCTTATTGTGCCCTATAAGACGTTTCTTGACATGACAAGCCCCAAGTGACATAACTGAGAACAGATATTCGT